TTTTCTTGCAGACCTCTCATGACCCAACTAGGTAACCTCATCAGTGTTAGAAGGAAGTGGGGTGTGTGGAGAGGAGGGGAAGGGGAAGAGGAGGAAAAGGATGCTGTGTGGGGTCCTTGATGCTCTCTGAGCTCGATTGTTTTCTTGCAGACCTCTCATGACCCAACTAGGTAACCTCATCAGTGTTAGAAGGAAGTGGGGTGTGTGGAGAGGAGGGGAAGGGGAAGAGGAGGAAAAGGATGCTGTGTGGGGTCCTTGATGCTCTCTGAGCTCGATTGTTTTCTTGCAGACCTCTCATGACCCAACTAGGTAACCTCATCAGTGTTAGAAGGAAGTGGGGTGTGTGGAGAGGAGGAAGAGGAGGACTGTGGGGTCCTTGATGCTCTCTGAGCTCGATTGTTTTCTTGCAGACCTCTCATGACCCAACTAGGTAACCTCATCAGTGTTAGAAGGAAGTGGGGTGTGTGGAGAGGAGGAAGAGGAGGACTGTGGGGTCCTTGATGCTCTCTGAGCTCGATTGTTTTCTTGCAGACCTCTCATGACCCAACTAGGTAGCCTCATCAGTTTTAGAAGGAAGTGGGGTGTGTGGAGAGGAGGAGGAGGAGGACTGTGGGGTCCTTGATGCTCTCTGAGCTCGGTTGTTTTCTTGCAGACATTTCACAACCCAACTAGGTAACACCATCAGGGCTGGAAGGCAGTTAGCTGTGCTCTCTCTTCGTTACCAACCCAACCAAAAGGGCTCCCACCTTCCTTGAACCCTTAGCTTTTCCTGGACCCTCAAATCTCTCCCCTTCTGCCTGCAGGAGCTGGAAAAGAGCGAAGCCAACCACTACATCATCCTATTCCGCGACGCCGGCTGCCAGTTCAGAGCACTTTACTGCTACCATCCCGACACCGAAGAAATCTACAAGTTGACCGGAACGGGTCCAAAGAACATCACCAAGAAAATGATCGACAAGCTGTACAAATACAGTTCGGACAGGAAGCAGTTTAACCTGATCCCGGCCAAAACCATGTCCGTCAGCGTCGACGCGCTGACGATTCACAACCACTTGTGGCAATCCAAGCGACCCGCCGTGCCAAAGAAGATCCAGAATCGCAAATGACGCTAAGCAACAACAACAAAAAACAAAACACTAGAAAACACAACAAAACGGGGCTAGATTTCAACGCCGAGGGTATCCGACGAACAGAACCATCATCAACCATAAACCAAGGAAAAAAAAATCAGCTTTTCAAATCACGGATGCAAGGAGAGTGTGAACGAACAACTTGAATGTTTCCCTTTTTTTTCTTTGGGACGCGACTGATTTGCTGGTTCGGTTCGGTGTGGATGCTCAAACGGCCGCTACACCCATCGCTGGCTTCTCGCGGCTTTTTTGCGATGGACCAGACCTGAAGCTGGGGATGTACTGGTGTTTCTTTCTTTCTTTTTTTAAAAAACTTGAAGCTCTTCATTGGTACCACTTGGGATCCCTCGTTTTCCCCTCCCTTTTTCCCGATTCAACCTTCCTGCAGAGAAATAAATACATCAAAGGACGCCGTGTAGAAGTTGGCAAAGCGGCAGTTTAGAAAGGGAAAGCGAACAGCAGGAGGCGGGATGGAATTTTTTCCCCTCCCACCTCCATTTTTCCCTTCTGGATTCCTTTTAAAGGATCTCACACCCAACTGCATTTTAACTGCCAATGTTAAGTCACACTCTCATTTCTGGAGAATGGAAGCCCAGCCTGCCGCCCACTCCTCGCCTCAGTTTACCTACAGTATCCCTTTCTTGGTCCTACGTACTGACTGACAGATGTCAAAACCAGTCTCTTTTTTTAACAAATGAAGAACGGAGACAGAGGACATATGCAAAAAAAATTGTGACTGCTTGCGAACCTTAGAGCAAAACACAATCATGAAGAGACAGAGAGGTGCTATTGGCTGGATTTAGCTTGTTCGAAACTTCACATGGCAAAACAAAACAAAACAAAACAAATGGATTTTCCGATTTTCCGTATCCTCGTCTTCTCCCTTCGCCCTCCCGTTTCGTTTCGTTTGTTGGACGGACCCTAGAAATAGCGGAGCGCTTTTCCCCCCTCCACTCCGAGCACGTTTAACTCTCCGTCGAATGTTGCACTCAAGTTATTCACGATGCTTTTTTAAAAATATTAATAACAATAATAATCATGTTTAAAATCAGGCCCTGCTACTTTGTCCTCTCCTGTCTGTCTGTCTGTCTGTCCTTTGCGGGATGAGCAGCATGCTCTTGTGAAGGAGTGTGTTCCTTCCCTCCCCTTCTTTATTTCCTCCCCCCCTTTTTAAGTTTTCTGCGGGAGCTCTTTTTAATTTGGGAGTGGGGGACGGACGCGATGGGACGACGATGTCTAGAAAAAGCCAACCGATTTCCCCCCCCCCCCCTACGACGGGCAAGGTTTTAAAACAGATCTCGGTGTTTGGTTTGAAAGCTCAAAAGTGGCTTTAGGGTGTTGGTTGTTTTTTCCCCCTCCTTCCCCTCTCTTTTCATCTTGAAATATTAAACCTTTGAGTTGAAACCTTTCAACCTGTCTGTGTTTTCACCTTACAGAAAACCAACCAGAACCAAATCCTTTTTACCCTTGGGACTTAATGATGCAGGAAGCTTAGAGGATGATGTGTTTTAAAGTGTCTCTTTTCTCCCTTCCCTTGGAAGGCACAATAAAAAAGAAAATTATGTAGCCTTCAACCCAAACTATTCTTTTTCATACTTTACTACTTGGAGATATATATATCCAAGTAGTAAAGTATGAAAAGGAATAGGTATATATATATATATTCTGACAAAGGTTTTAGTTTGCACATGTTTACTTCTACTTGAAATGTTACTTGAAGACCTTTTTGAGACGCTCTTTCTAACACTAGAGACGAACGAGAGAGATGGAAACACACACCTGTGCGTCCTTATTTATGAACCTAGAAGAAGAATATTGGGAGAGCAAAATGACTTTTGTACAGAGCGAGGCGAGAAACGGCCTTCTTAACACTAAGCTAGTAAGAGGGGTTGGGGAATCGGAATGGTCTCCCGTTGTTGGCCGTTCCTTCCCTCGGGCGTTTGTTTTAAATAGATTTGTAAATTTTGTTCCATAGTCGATTAACCTTGTAAATAAGGCTTCGTTTCTTAAAACTATTCAGAGGATTCAATGTGGTTGTGAGCAATTCTTTTTTCCCCCCTCCTTCTTCTTCTTTTGGTTTACATGCTTTTTCATGCTTGATTTTTTTTCCTCACTGTTTGATATACGACATATTTATTTTATGGAAGCACTGAAAATAAAGGTCATCATCCGATTTTGGTTATTCCATGCATTTTATATTTNAAACAATGCACTTCTTCCAAAGTCTCCACGAATCAGGGTTACAGGAAACACCAAAGCACTTATCCAAGTGTATCAAGCAATGTTGTACGCACGAAGGAACGTTGACTCCTGCGACTAGGGCGTGGCAGCATCCGTCCTTTTATCTCCAAACTTGCCTCTAACCAGCCCCAGCTGCATAATGAATCTTGTATCCCGGAAAGACTCACAGCAGACATCTGCTGAGTCACAACAGGCACCAAAGGATTTTTGCTGTTGCCTTTTGTTGGATTAAATTAAGATGCATTTTTAAGATATTAATTTCCTTTCTACCAAAAAGGAATACAAAGTAGTCTATGCACTTAGTAACTAACATTTGAATCCCTTTTTATACCCCATCTTTCAACACTTTCCAAATGTTGGTCGTTTGTCTTAGTCGAAGACCAAAAGGGATGGAATAATAAATGATTGACTCCAAGGGATTGCTGTGGTAATTAAACAGATGCACACATACAGAAAGAAATATCCATTGGAACAATGAATAAGAAATCAGAGCATGTGTTTGCAATTAGTTGCTGAAATGTCAACCACAGCCCTGAAATTAGTTCTTGCCCACTTAGAACTTTCATTTTTATTCCTAAGGATATTTCAAAATAAATGCCTCTTTTCCTGGGGACTTTAGTTTTTTTTAAACACAGTTTACCAAACTGAAGAGTCCTAAAGCTTGTGATGAAATTGAAGGAAGGCTGTAAAGCCAAGATGGGGAAAAAATCATAACTGTTTTTTTCCTTTAACCTCCATAATGGGGTGGGAAAAATCCTAATTATATTGCAGAATAAAACTAAGCAGTTTTTTGTTGAAAGCTTGTTTTCCCAAAGAAGATAGTAATCCAGGTCCTTGGGAAGGACTCTTGATAGGTGGACAAAAATGCCAAATCCAGTCTGAACATCTCGTTGACTGTGCGATTAACAAAACAACAAAAACAACAGTTGTTAGGTCCTTGGTTGGGACCTGAACTGTAAAGTTTTTACCAGTCTCAGATTGCGAATCCAATTGAAGATCAAATAATAATTATAATTATTATTAGTATAGAACAACATAACAATTCAAAGCTAAATGGTATTATAAACCCAAGATTAGAAAAAAAACGCAGGCAGGCACCATTCTGGTGAAAAAGAGAAGACTAAAGAGAAGGAAAATAAAGGAATGAGAATAGCAAAAAGAGCAAAAGGGGGTAGATGGAAAAGGGAGAGGGAGTAGGGGGAAGAAGAGAGAGAGAGAGAGTGCGTCGCTGCTTGAAAGGAAGCTTACAGCTTGTGAACTCTTCATGAACCGCGCGTTGCGAGTCATAAATCATGGAGACACGGTCTCTGCCATTGACAACTGATAGCCTATTTCGGTCCACCTTACCTTAGCCTCTGACGAGAGCA